TGATGAATAAAAAGTTAAAAAGAAGAGCATTTATTTAAAATAGAAATATTTTCTAACAATATACACTACAGTTCAAAAAGTTTGGGGTCAGTACATTTTTATTCTTTCTTTCTTTTTTAAAGAAATTAAAGCTTTTATTTGGCAAGGACGTGTTAAATTGATAAGAAGCGATAGCAAAGATTTATATTGTTAGAAAAGATTTATATTTTGAATAAATGCTGTTCTTTGTAACTTTTTATTCATCAAAGAATCCTGAAAAAAGTATTGCAGTTTACAAAACAATATTGTGCTGCACAACTGTTGATAATTCTAATAATAAATCAGCATATTAGATTGATTTCTGAAGATCATGTGACACTTTATACTGGAGTAATGATGATGGAAATACAGCTGCGCATCACAGAAATACATTATATTTTAAAGGATATTAAAATAGAAACCATTATTTTATATCGTAATAACATTTTGCAAGATTACAGTTTTTTTTCTGTGTTTTTGATCAAATAGCCTTGATGAGCAGAAGAGACTGCTTTAAAAAACATTACAAGTCTTACTGATCCCAAACTTTTGACCGGTAGTATATATATATATATATATATACATATATATATATACAGTGGGGCAAATAAGTATTTGATACACTGCCGATTTTTCAAGTTTTCCCACTTACAAATTACACTTACTTATTGTTAAAAGCGCTATATAAATAAAGGTGACTTGACTTGACTTGACAAAGAAAGAAGGCGTAACTTTTATTCTCGCTCTAGTATTGTTGTTACCGCCATCGTGAAGGCACTGTGTGTTTCGTTGTGAAAGCAAAACTAATTTGTTTGGCCTTCCAAAAGAGGACGATATCTGCTTCGTCATGCCTAGAGCTTATCCGTGCTGGTTGCTGAGGAAATACATCAACTTCGCGCTGTGGATCGCTTGATCGGCTTTCACCGTGGACGAAGTGGAGTCCAGTCCGGGGTCATCAGTTGCTCACTCTAGCCACCGGCCTCTACTCACTCTAGGTCTCGGCCTCCGCTCAATCTAGCTCGCTGTGTGTGACGGTGTTTCATTGTGAAATCGTAACGACTTTTTTTGGCCTTCCAAAAGAGGACACGACTTGAAATCAGTGGTTAAATTGTATTTACAACACTGTTCCAGAACAGTTCAAGCCAAATATTCAGATATCCAAATATTCTGTAAGTACGTCTTTTATATTTAAAAATTTGCCACTGATGATTCAAACGCGAGTTTTGAGCAGTGTAGAGTAGCATTTGTAGTTTGTAATTTCTCCGATCACAAATGCAGACATGGTTTTATGTTTACGTAGAGCGATGCAATGCAATGCCTAAAAAGACAGTATACATCATTATAATCTGTAAATATGACCCCACTGGATGCAACAAATACCTAGTTTATAATGGGTTTGAATATTTTTGTCTCGTCGCTCCGGCCGGGACAAGGCATCACAATATGGTAAGGGGCGTAACATTTCCGTCACACGCTTGAGGTATTCGGCCAATCAGAGCACACCTCGCTTTTCAGACCGATGAGCTTTGTAAAAATCGACGCGTTTCAGAAAAGCGGGGCATAGAGGAGAAACATGTACAGTATGTGGAAAATAATGTGTTTTTTTAACCTTAAACCGCATAAACAAATTTCATTACACCAAATACACAAAATAATGTTATTTTTAGCAACATCATATGACCCCTTTAAACTAAAGTTGCAGCTCTCATAAATCTGTTGTTATCAGTCTCTGCTATTTTGTCATTGTTGTTGTTTTGTTGTATGTCTTTAGTTTTGTTTTCTACTGTGAATCAACAGCCCGAGCCAGTGTTGCCACTTTGTGGAACAACTGATTAATGCAAAACAAATTCAATTTGCATGTGCGACCTGCAAAAATTGTGTGGTGCACATACTAATCTGGTGACAAAATTTGCATTAAACGCACTGCATGAGGAGTATATACGCATAAAATCTGAAGTATACTTCGGGCTTAACAGAGGATCAAACAGTTAGCTTAGCAACAAGCTAACGGCAAACAGTATTGGAATCATATGCTTATTAGCATGTGTCACACAGTTAGCTTATAGCAACATGCTAACACCAAACACTATTGGTATCAGCAGCAAATGAGTGTTAGGTCTATGCACTTTTATGCTTAATAAAGTGTCACACAGTTAGCTTAGCATCATGCTAATGCCAAACACTATTGGAATCAACTGAAAGCAGTGACCACTATGTAATTTTATGTTTATCAGCTTGTCAGACAGTTAGCTTAGCAACATGCTAATGTCAAACACTATTGGTATTAACTGAAAGTGACTTATGTATTTTTATGTTTATTAGTGTGTCACACAGTTAGCTTAGCAACATGTTAACGTCAAACATTATTGGAATCAACTGAAAGTGACCTGATATGTACTTTTATGTTTATTAGCATGTCATACAGTTAGCTTAGCAACATGCTAACGTCAAACATTTGAATCAACTGAAAGTGATCTGTTATGTATTTTTATGTTTAGAGTGTCATACAGTTAGCTTAGCAACATGCTAATGTCAAACACTATTGGTATCAACTAAAAGTAACTGATATGTATTTTTATGTTTAGCGTGTCACACAGTTAGCTTAACAATATGTTAACGTCAAACACTATTGGAGTCAACTGAAAGTGACTGATATGTAATTTTATGCTTAATACAATGAAGCAGCCAGAGACTCACAGCGCCTTCAAAAAAAATCCAACTGAAGTGCGTAGACCAAAAAATACTTAATACAATGTCATACAGTTAGCTTAGCATCATGCTAATGCCAAACACTATTGGAATCAACTGAAAGCAGTGACCACTATGTAATTTTATGTTTATCAGCTTGTCAGACAGTTAGCTTAGCAACATGCTAATGTCAAACACTATTGGTATTAACTGAAAGTGACTTATGTATTTTTATGTTTATTAGTGTGTCACACAGTTAGCTTAGCAACATGTTAACGTCAAACATTATTGGAATCAACTGAAAGTGACCTGATATGTACTTTTATGTTTATTAGCATGTCATACAGTTAGCTTAGCAACATGCTAACGTCAAACATTTGAATCAACTGAAAGTGATCTGTTATGTATTTTTATGTTTAGAGTGTCATACAGTTAGCTTAGCAACATGCTAATGTCAAACACTATTGGTATTAACTGAAAGTGACTTATGTATTTTTATGTTTATTAGTGTGTCACACAGTTAGCTTAGCAACATGTTAACGTCAAACATTATTGGAATCAACTGAAAGTGACCTGATATGTACTTTTATGTTTATTAGCATGTCATACAGTTAGCTTAGCAACATGCTAACGTCAAACATTTGAATCAACTGAAAGTGATCTGTTATGTATTTTTATGTTTAGAGTGTCATACAGTTAGCTTAGCAACATGCTAATGTCAAACACTATTGGTATCAACTAAAAGTAACTGATATGTATTTTTATGTTTAGCGTGTCACACAGTTAGTATATATATATATATATAAACTATAAAACAAATAGTATTTTCTTGTTTTCATCGCTATTTTGAAAAAAGCTGTTTTTAATAATATCTGTTTTTATTTTTCACCCATTTTCTTTTTTAAACCGTGCATCAAACTGATGGAGCATCAGCCTCCAGCAAATCCATCTGACCATTGACAACGTCATTTAGTCTGAGATGACCATCACTGTGACAAAAATCACAAGCAAATAAGCATGTCGTGTTGCTGTTCACGTATTTTAGCAGGTTTGTATTCCTGAAGAGTGTGGACAGAATCAAGATGTCAGCGTTTGAATGAAGGAAACGAGCGGCTAAACTGACAGCTACAGCTCAGCTGCCAAACACTGTTTGCATCCAATAACCTCCACAGCTGCTCAATAATTCAACATCTCCTTTGCAGTGCGCTGGGCTTGATCCAAACCGCAGGTATTTATTTATTTATTTTAGTAATGCATGTCAGATATTTCAGCTCTGGTGAAGCAATATCATCCCACCATGACAGCTTTAGGATTTTTCTAAATCCATAAACTGTGTCCTGTGCTCTTCTCAAACACACTATGGGAAAGCAACCTCAATCCTAAATGGCTTGCATAAGGACTTATTTCTGTCAGGCGAAACCTTCAGTCTCTTTCAGCTACAGTAACCTATTTACCAGCAGGGGATTTTTAGTGGGACGCTGGAAACTTTCTCGCCGCGCCTCGAGATCTTCATGCAATATTACGCTTAAGATCCAAATTTAAGTACAAGCATCAAGACAAAATCATTGAGCAAAGCAAGTTGCAAACTGCGTTCGAGTTTGGCCTTTCTTTTATTATTTTATATATATGGTCAAGAATTGGTGCAAACTGCTGTCCCACAACCAAAAAACACATTTAAAAAGCATTTCAGTATTCAAATCTTAGATGTTTACAAAGATCCTTCTATTATCTATTGAAACCTATACAATAATATTTAAAATATTATTAAGCTTAATATATAAAAAATCATCATTTATTGGGTACTTTCAATTGAGACTATTTGTAGCATTTCTGACATTTTTAATAAAAAAATCAAAAGGGTAATGGTAACTTTTTGTCTTTTTTTTTTTAGAATTGTGCCTTTATATTTTGACATTGAAATGAAATGCTGCTGCTTGTAATGTAAATCAGTGAGATCTTTATAACAGTGCAGCAGATACTGATATAAAATGATCTAAATATCAGCCGTCGCTCTATATCTCCAGTAATCTGTCTCAGTGAGATGAGAGTGAAATGCTCCAAACATATAATGCAGTGATTGAGAGCTGAAGAAATAAAGGCTCCTCAGAAGATGTGAGATGTTCTGGAGGCTTGTGAAGATCATTCCTCCGCTGAGGAACAGTGAAAGTAAAGCTTCTGGAAACAAACGCTCCTCAAAAGATCCTGAGGATCAGATTTGAGACTCTAAAACATGATTGATGGAGAATCAAGTAAAGCTGAGCTGCTTCAGTCCAGTAAGTGTTCATCTGGAGATATTACTGACGTTATTCTGATGCATACTTGATCAAAATCAGTCAAGATTTGACATGAGAAGCAGCAGCTGAAGCTGGACGCTTGTACAATTACACTAAAAGAGCTTTCACTGGATAAAACACTCTAAACTCTCAATCAGACGACAGAAGACAT